GGACCAGCAGAGGGGCACGGAGCACGACCCCCGCCATCGGCACGGTAGCTAGCCGTGCGACCAGGGACGCCCCCCAAGTTGTCGGACAGCGTGGTCTCCCTCGACGGCCGGGTCCTCTGGAAAGGCGAAGTTGTAGCGGGCGACACGCCACCCGCGTCACCGAGACACGGGGGCAGATGCGGCACGGGCCGCACGCCATCAGCTTCGTCGGCCGGCGCCGCATGAGCAAGCGCCGGCGGGGTGGATGGTGACGGAGGCGACATGTGAAAACGGTGTCAGTCGCGAGAGCACGTAGGAGATGATGGTTGGAGCGAGCAACACACGCCACGGAGAGAAGGGCGGAGCGGGCGATACGGCACGGAAGCCCGCGCTAGGGCAGACAAGGAAGCCGAAAGGCGGAAGCGCACGGCAGCACGGAAGAGCACGACGAGTAGGGGTCCGGATACTCCGCGACAGGGGCAGAAGAAATCAGGCGCGAAGACAGGAAGTTATAATTGGAAATATCGCGAGGGGTGGACGACGGACAGAGACACACGAGGCTCCCTTTAAACACACGTCCCCGCGGACGGTCACGCTTGACGGGGAGGCCGTGTGGTATAACGGCAAACTAGATTTAGATCTAGATTGGATCCCGCACTGTAGAGCCGGAGCTCTACAGTACGGACCCACACGTGTGCGCGACACGCACGTGCACTGTCAGCCCGATGCCTGACAGCGCTACAGTGCAGGCTGACCCGCAGTACAGTAGCCCCCTACAGTACATCGGTACTGTACTGTTATGATAGAATACTTTGTACATTAAGTACGCGAGCGACCGACGACGGAGGAAAAGGACAAGCACGAGCTTGTCCACGACTCTCCGTCTAGGTCAGCTCTGCCGCTTACTCTACTAGAACGACGGGCCTACTCTAGTCCGTTCTAGGCAAGGGACCGCGCGGGCAAGGACGCGCCAGCATGCGAGCGAGCCCGGATCCGCCTCCGCCCGTCGGTACTGGATCGTCTACCAGTACCGCACCGGGGCGTCGAGGCGTAGATCCGCTCGCGCGTGCGCGCGTCCGACCCGACCGCGCTCTACCACACTGCTACCAAGGCCCGCGCCCGGTCCCGTGTGTGCGGGGTGCTTCATCCAGTTCTCGGCGATCCGAGGTCTATAGGACTGGACGCATACACCCCTCCCCGCGGGGGTGTTTATGCTACAGAAGTGTGCGGGCATGTTGGCTACAGAATATATTCCATCATCTACATGCGTTAAGATTACATTTATTCGTTGAGCCCAGCCTACATACGAACGGCTGCGGCGTTGCTGTTGGCTGTTTGCGTTTCCAAGACATGAAGACAGCTGCTAGAGCTAGTTTTATGTCGGGTATGGAAGCTGCTAGCAGATGGTTCAATGTCTGGGAAAGGCAAAAAGCAGCGCGGCCGAAGATTTGAAAGGTTGTCCTGGCAGCAGGTAGCAATACCTGCTGCTAGGATGGCCTTCACATTCTATCCCAGTTAAAGGGGGGGTGCCCCAATTATTGAACAAAACGAACTTAATTAATTAAAAAAGACCCTCCTGAGCTCGGTTTGACGATCTTTTTTTCTACGGACTCCGTGTGGTGTGTTTTTCACCACAACGTTGCACCGCAATGCAGTCGATGACACAGAAAGCTACAAAGTTGTCACGGACGCGCAGGCAATCACAGGTTTTCTACATGTCAAATTTGCCCCAAAGATCGAACAAACAAAAAAGTTTATATCAAAAACAGACACTGTATGTATGAAAATCGACTGCCACGTCACCAGTTTAAGGCCGCTGCAAATCGAGAAACGGCTCAAACTGCCTCCGAATCCCAATTGCCTTCTTGTTCAAAGTACGCCTGCGCGCAACTGCACGTCTCTCTTCAATTGAACGAACGTTCGCATTGAACGCTTTTACAGATAATCCTGCCAAGCGAGCCCTTCGCTGCCACGCCGCACTGCGGCAACGGTCAAATTCCTTCTTGCTCTTAGCACTCCGCCGGGCACGATCCATGGCTACGGGATTTGCTCTCTCTTCAGAAATTACTTTCTTCAAAGCGACACGAGCCCACTTTTCTTGCGCCAGTGCCAAAGCATTGGCAGACGTCAGAACGAGGCCCTCTGTAGTGTATAGATAGCCAGAATGTAAAATCTTGGCGTTGGCCCCTATGACAGTGTCCCTTATCTCCATCCGCTTTGCCTCCATTTGCCGACACATCCGGTCCACGTCCATTACCTCTTCCAAATTATCACGCCCTGCTGGCCTGGGAGCAGACAGAAGCTGCCTCGGATTCATTGGCCACATCCCTGACTTACGGAAAGAGGTGATGATGTTTTTCCTGCTGAACGATTTTTCGTAGGCATCTCGCAGCATGCCGCAAAAGTCGAATACGTCAAATTTGTCTATGCTGTCCCGCGACACCACCAAATCCATTGAATCCCTAAGATACTTTTTGAAAGGCGAGAACAGAACGACATCTAGTGGCTGTGTCTTTCCACTGGTATGCGCTGGTAGTGCGTAAACGATTACGTTGTTATGATGTAAATAATTGATGACCTTAATCGACAAATGGGAACGATACCCGTCAAGGATTAGCAGTGTCTTATGACCGTTTGGCGTGTGCCGGTGGACATGTTTCACAAGGTGAATGGCCCAGTTGTAGAATATCTCATTATTGACTCCCCCATTTTCTTGACGACACGCCAGGAAGGATTCGGATGGTAAGAAGTCTGCTACGCTATCAGTCGTAGTAATCCCATCTCGCACAACCTGACGAAAAGGTAAGGGACTTCCCTTGAATACCAACAAGGGCTTCATGGCATCTCCATTTGCACATATTGCGGGCATCATCGTGACACGATTGACATTCATAAAATGCCCAACTTTTGCATCCCTTGTCCCTGCACGAGTCAAATAAAAATTAGCATCAGAAACACCCTTGCAATCTTTTGCCGGAATTGCCCCAGTTTCGTCGAGGTTCCATATGCACCTCCCATGAATGTTGTTGTCCTTGATAATTTTCTCTAACGTTGCGAAATGAGTTGTCAAAGTCATTGCGTTACACGCTGCATACCGAACTGCTTCTTGACGTAATGGAAGCCCCAATTTCAGTTTATCACCATGACGCTTGATAAAAAGGCGCAAAAATTTCGGGCCAGGACGTGCATTGACAAAAGATAGCAGCATTTTTCGAGAGGAGGGCATGCGACTGATGAGTTGACGAAAAGCTTCCTGAACATGCTGGCATCGGAGCGGTAGTCCTTGTTCTGCGTACCGACATATCATTTCTACAACAAGTTGTTCTTCGAACTCAGTCAATGCCGGGCGTCGTCCTGGGCCGATTTTGGTGCGAGTGAGAAGCGGCCCGTCTTGCATTGCTCGATAATAAAGTGTAGTCATGGGTATACGGTGTTTCGCAGCTGCATAGCGGTACGTTGAGCCAGCCCGGACCGCAGACAGTGCATGTTCAATGTTCCGTTGATTGCGACGTGCAGCTGTGGCGCCCTTCATGGCAGGAGAGAGGGTGCGGAGTCTCGAAACGTGGGAATGCGCCGACGTGGGAATGCGCCGTTAGCAGGCGCAAAGGACTTCATGCATAAAAGCATATGGATCATGAACTTAAGCTCGGTGCGGAAAAGAGCGGTAACTTCGTGTCTTCGAGACATGAATTCGAATATCAGATCGAATTTGCCCGCCCTTTCTGTGACGTTCTTGACAATAGGGTACCAGACACCGCTGAAGCCAATGAGCACATTTGTTTTTAAATTGATCCATGTCGTTTACCGCATTGAGGCATAATAGGGTGAGGAGAGAGGTCTTCTGCTGGCCCGGGCCCGGAAAATGACACTTTTTTCAAATAATATGTGTGTTTCGAACATTAGGGCACTGTTCAATAATTGGGGCACTCCCCTTTAGTCGGAAATATGAGTCACTCTGAGTCACGACAAGTCACTCCGGAAAGCCTTTGAAATCGGGCGTAGCGCACAAGGGCACCGGTGCTTGGCTACTGTACTACACCTGCGAATATGGCCCAGCAGGACATGTCAAAAATCTTCTTCACGACCCTATTTTGGCCGCTGGATCCAAAAGGCACACCGCCCAGTCGACCTGATTTACCCGCTGGATAGTTTTCGATTCAGCGCTGGATTGTGTTGCACGGCGCTTTGCCCCTTTTTTTGAGCCTCTTATGGATGCGGACTTTCTCGGTTGTACTTCCCCCAATCCCTCCCCTTTTATCTATTATTCTACCCCCGCCTTTTCGATCCGGCCCCGTCTATTTCAAGCCTTCAGTGTCGGAGCCCACACCTGCATTCTTGCGTTCTGACTGGTTGATCATGATGATGTGCACTGTCCTTTCCGGGGACGTGACTGAGGCATCTCTCGAAAAAATTGCGTTTGATTTTTTGGAGAGTAATTGTAGCGGTCAGGTACCCCTCTACACTCGTCGCGCGGCATGGACCGCAAGTACTCTTTTGGATTGTATGCAAGACGTATCGCGGAAAATAGCACGCAAATATTCTGTGGAGCACACTGAGGACACTGTTGGTCCGTTTCCGTAGTTGACGCCGACGATGCCGAGGCATTTTTTCAGAGAACCGTTTCTTCTCTGCTTTCACCACATGCAACTGAACTAATCCAGGAAAGCAACCACAGCAAAGTTTTATTATTATTCGCGCAAGCATGTGTCATACTTCTATTGCAGGGATAGGGGTATCCTTGACATTCCCCACTTCCAAAAACAAAATCAGAAGTCATCCAGCTTGTCCTCCTCCTCTTCCGTTAACAAGTGAGCCACCAACAGATTCCCAAACTGGATTCCTGTCTCAATATCTCCATTCATTCCCTCCACGTTTGCTTCGTCCTCGAGATCCAGCTCCCCACGATCATTGCTTGACACTGAATTCATGCGCTTTAGTTTCCGATTCAGCCACGTGACCTCCTTCGCCCACTGTGGCGCGTGAGACAGACGCAAACCCGATCGATCCCCAGATGCCATCATTTAGATGCCGTTCCCAACTTTCATCCTCGGTAATGCTAAGGAAAAAACGCTAATCATCTTACGAGTATCTCTCTGAGCCTTGGGAATTTCGGGCAAGGTCCCACAATCACAGAACCTCAATAAATTGTCGCGGTAGTTAGCTGCGTACGATCGGGCCTCCCTTTGCGCCTTGAAACAGGCCTTCTCCCAGCAAGTGTCGTACTTAGATAGCAATTTATATTCTCCAGATTCATGAAGTCTGAGGGCTGCGACTTTCGCCGCATTAAACTCCCTGTTTCGTTCGGCATCCTCACAGTCATTTTCATCGTCTTCGTGATCAATTTCCATTTCCTCTTCGTGATCTGTGCGGCCGTGACCATCCTGTATCGGATTTAAAGGGCTGTGGGAAGGAAGAGCATGCAGGAATGCCTTGACCTAAAATATTATGGAACTCAATGTTAGTATAATGATGTGCCGTTGTTGCAGGAGTAATGCAAAGTCGCTGAATGTAAGATTGAGCAGAACATACGAAATGGCTACGGATTGCTTCAATAGCGCGGCTGTGTGCCTGCAAAATTACTGAAAGGACCGTTTTAGACTTGCTGTTATCCACGATTTTTCTCGATAGAAACTTTTTGACATCCAGAATTGGCTTGTCTGACTGCATCGCAAATCTGGCTGCCCTAATAACAACCTTCGTCAGCTTGATTGAGGTTGCCAATGGTGCGTCAAACAGCTCAGCCCCCTGTGACGAAACAAGAATTTGCAGCGATACGTGCAGCTTAATGTAGTTCTATAGATGGTGATGTGTCCGCGGTCAGTATGGTTGATTTGTAACACTTAATCGTTCCGAAGCGAGTAACCAATAACTTACCGAAGCTGCTTTGACCTGCTACACAGTCTCAATACACCAGTTCATATGAAAAACGTTAGAGTACGCAGCATGTTTCTGGATACACATACATCAATATGGCGGTATGGGAATTGGGAGTTTACCTCTAAAATCTCTTTTTCCGCATCCCGTGCAGTTGAATCCCGGTGATCTCTGCCTACTGATCGCAAGTTCGTCTGGATTTGATTCAAGACATCCATTTGCTCGACATGCTGCTTATCCCCGCGCTCTTGCTCTTTGTGTAGTTGTCGCTCCACGTCATCCCGATCGGCCTCGTTTCTGAGTTTCCATTCATTTCTCATCTCGGCGACTTCTCTTCTCAATCCTTGATTGGAAGCTTTCATATCACGAAGCTCAACCAGTTGCTCCTTTGACAAATCTATCAGAGATCCAAGAACAGACACGAGTTGGTCAGTGGCAGTAGGCTTTCGAGGGGGGCGCGCGGCTCTTTTTCTGACTGCACCTGCTGCCCCAGGCGTCGACGGGCCCCCTTCGCTTCTATTACGATATAATTGGGAGGCCATCAGTTGCCCAATATCACGCTATCCGTTGACATGGATAACGGAACAGCACCCAGAGAGTTGCAGAACGGTTCAGTGCGGCTTGACTGGAGCACAAAAAACTAAAGGTGTAAATCGCGTCAGAAATATGCGAAGCCGCGGGACTACCATGGCTCGTTTGTCTGAAGCGAAAGTCTTCATTAGATCGAAACGCAGAGGACTTGCAATCTGCGACAATTGTATTTTAACCTGCACCTGTATTGTTACGCGCTAAAAACAATGGTGACAACTTGTCAACGTAACCGGAAATTTTGACCACGACCTCAATTGGATTTCCAACCGACACCACCCTGCTCCCTGCACAAGCACGACGCACCCGACTGAAGGCCTGTTACTCGCTCCGCGTACGATCGGACATATCAACACGAGCTGTTGCTTCATGCAAAGTGGGGGACAATCATGCCCGTCGGTAACCTGTTCGCATAAATTGCGATCGAACACCTTTGTGACGTTGCGCGATATATCAGCCCCTGATACCCCGTTACGGTCTTGATGCGCATCGTGGTGACACCCCGCTTTCCTGCCAAGGGTATTTCGTCTCACCACCGACTACCCGCTGGCGATACGACATTCGAAAAGACGCTCAGCGATCGGTCGATCGCGTACTCACACACAAGTCATGACACCCATCCTCATCCCGACCGGACCATACGTTGCGCTACACACCGGCTACGTGCCATCGCCAAGCCATGTAACACCGCTGTGTTAAACCCACCACCAATCTCCTCGAAGTGCATTGAGGTTGTATTTTGTGACAGATCTCATCTTTTGCACACTAAAGCGTACACCTAATGTCAGTACTCGCTGCACGGGAACGTGTATTCTCGCTCTTGAACGACGTAGTTGTTACTCAGGACGCTTTAAGTTCTCAAACACAAACCTGTTCCGGTAAGGATGTGTATTTAAAACCCGCCACTTCAAAAAACCTCATGTTCTTACGCGTCGTAGGCGTATCAGGTAGATCATTCATCCTTCTTTGCAGCCCATATAGCTTTGACACTGCCCAAGGGTCTGGTATTAACAATGCCGGTCGAACTAGGGACGATGGCAAGACACAGTCCAGCTTCACATCTCCCTTGTATTGCACGTATTTAAGCCTTTCATTGCCAAACTCTAGCACAACTTTTACATTGCCATTGTCGGGTGTAGTTGCTTCCAGCCTCCTGACTAAAGCTATTCTGCTTTTGGCAGTAGCAGCATGAGAAAAAATCGCTTGAACGACTCCAAAATGGATCTGGCCATCTTTCATATACTGAATTGCATCTTGTCGGGCGTAACCAAATACATTTTATCCAGCGTAGATCGTCTGCGAAAAACTTTGTTCCAGACACCAAGGCACAGTTGCGAGAAATCTGATTGATTTAGCTACACGCCATATAGCAAGGTTTGTAGATGGCTGCAACGATCTTGTAATCGCCTTCTCAGCATCTCCTGATGAGTCCGTGTCCTCTATGTCCTGCTCCATTAATAACACCAAACGATCTACATGCCCTTCTGGAACCACAGACTCAGCCGCCTCTTGTGCAGTGCATGGCTCTGGCATATTTTTGTTCGACAATACTACTGGTCTACGAGTCAGCAGGAGCTGCGATCTGGATTGCAAACTGTGGGCATCATGTTTTTTGGTTTCAATGATGGCTCTAGCGCTCAGCAGTTGGGGGGCAATTTTAGACAGCTGCTTGTTTGTCGAGCGATACGCTAACTTTGTTGCTTTGTGAAGTGTCTCATTGCCGTCAGTGGCCCCTTTCCTAAAACATCCGAAATCCAGGTTGTGGTCTGATATGTGCCTCATTATTCTGTGTAACTTTGTGTTTACTGCACAATTCCGTACAGTCGCTGCCTTTTTTCCAACTTCATATCCCAGCCTTGCTATGTCACTGATATCTTCCCTCGTCTTGCTGGCAACTTCAGGCTTCTGGTTAGTACCAAGAAGTTTGCGTTGCAAAAAGTCTATCATGAGAAGCAACTGCACGAAAGGGTCGTCATCCGGATTAATACTTTGCGGAATACCCATCACAGAATACCACAGAAAGGGAGCCATCTCACGCCGTATTTTTCCGGTAACACCCGCATGTCTTTCATTCGCTCGCTTTCTAAAAGGCTCAATCCTCGGTAGCTGGCATGATCTCGGTAGGTCCTGTACTCTTTGATGGGCAATGGAGACAATTTTTCCCTTTGTCATGCCGTTGTATTGCGGTGCCGAGTCAAATACGTTGAATGCGTCGTCCGTGACCTGTCTTAGTATCCCGTGCTCTATCACATGGAGCTTATCGAATGCGACGGAAGCGTACAACCGGAATGGATTCGACCCAGCCCCCGCAAAAGCGGCAAGAACGGGTGGAAAGGCAAGTGCGCTCACATTGCAAAGATACTCTGTTGCCTCTTTCAGGAGTGGAACAGACGATACGTCTCTCTGTATTGAACGGTTTTTGGCAAGCAATAGCTGGTTTGTCACAGTTCTGTAGACATCTCGTCCCGGATAGGACGTGGGAGCAGTCTGGGTTGTCCAGATATTTTCACATGTGGCTGCGCTCTCAGATTCACGTATGAAAGTCTCACTTTCATTATAAGATAGAAAGGATGTTGCAGATTGTTGTTCACTTTCTGTTCTAGATTCGTCTAGTGGTGCTTGGAAAGCTCGCTTTCGCTTTTTCAATCGGGAAGGCATTGTGCAGTGCGTACAATCACAAAAGCTGTCATGTCCTTTCAGACCACACGTCGGCCTCTCCTGCACTTGGTCGGCGACGTTCATACCCAATCGGGGGAAAACCTTGACACCATCAACAGTAGTACCGGCATGAGACCTCAACAGTGCTTCCCTCAATACCAGAAACGTGAAGCGATGCCACAGCTGAACTTTTTCCTTTTTTACAGCGTCATCAGACGGCCGCTTCTCTATGTTGCCAAACTTCGGAGTCGGGACAATTCCAACCTCGTGCCAGACGTCTGTACGTCAAATTAGCGAATCTCACCCTCATGTTGTTGGCACTTTGCGTGCCTGAGCTACTTAACGTAGTGCCGTCGCTGTAGATATCTATCATAAGAATTCTTGAATCACTGCTTACTTCTTTGGTGTAGTCCTCCATTGCTTTCGAATTCCATGGTGCTGAGAACCGCCTCACACCTGTCGTACAGTCTTCCTCAAATGGCAAAACTGAATCAATTCCCCCTGCTTCTTTAATCTCCTATATCAATAAGTCGAAAACTGGTCGAAATACGCCCGTCTTGTTGATACCGTGGTCAGAATGTATGACGGACGTCCTCCAGCCCTCAAGTGCGACTATGTGCTTCTTTGCTTTGTCAAGGTAGGTTGAAAACCGATCCGCGTTGTCGAACTGAATGGAGAGTTTCCTCTGGGCGTTTGGGTAACTTGATTCTAGAAATGCCAGGAGATTAAACAAACACCGCGATTCACTCAGGGTCAGGTGGGCAGCTGTGCAATACTCCAGTACAGCCTTTACTGCTGGATCGAGGTCTTTCAAAGAACGGAAGGATGGGGGTACGCTTGGATATAACTTCTCGGATGCGTCTCTGAACGAGGCGTAGTAGTTGTAAACCCCGCAGGCCACTTCACCACGTTCTGAATTTCCACTCCACGGTCTCCCTTGCTCCGCGTTATCTTCTTCATGGAAGTCATTAGTAGCATGCAGATACTGTTTTCCGTCAGCGAATATCGCAATATCGAGAGAGGAGCAATCATAGTCGGCATCGTTCGCCTGTGGCGGTGATTTATCGCCACTGCGTTCGTCGATGACCGCGCAACTGACAAATGCGGGGTTAAGATTTGCGGGAGCAGATGTCGATAAGCCCAACGGTTTATCAACTGGGATAACAGTGCCAAGTAGCGACGGTGGTGGCCAGTTATCGTCATGTTGAACGATAGATCCGTTATGTGCTCTGTTGATGTGATTACCAAACACAACCTTGTTTGAATATTCTTTCTCACAAACTGGGCACTCATATGTTCTGTTGTTCTGTGTAACTGCCGAGCTTGAACTGTTCATCGCAGTTGTGCGTTTCGAAATGAAATACAACTATGAGAAATTGTGAGGACGCTGGGGCGAGGGCCGGTTTGGCGTGTGGGTGGTGTACAGGCACGGGGGGTGCGGCGATATTTGGGGACGCACGGGAGCAGAGCTGGTGGTGTTGCGCTGGCTCAACTTCGGGACGAGAGTATCTGTTCTGTGGGACTCTGCAGCGTGTGAGGGCGGGGAAGAGCCGGTGCGGGGTTGAGAAGGTATTTGGGGTGCAAGGGGTTTACGATTGGCGGGTCTTTTCGAGGATGAAGAGCTGTTTCTGGCACGACTAAGGGGGCGAAGGGGAAGTGGTTGCTAGCTGAGTGAGTGTTTGTTGAGGGCGTGTGCGTTGGGGGACGGGGCAGGCAGGCAATGAACGGAACTCGGCAAAGGTAGAGGCTCGCCCTCCTGGTGGAGGTCGGTGAGCAAGGTGCTGAGGGCCTCCGATCTGCAACGTTGCCATCATGGCAACGTTGCAGATCGGAGGATGGGTTCAGAGCCTGAACCCAGCAAGATAATAAAAATGCAATTTTTGAACCGGCGAAAGCACGGTCAGAGAACCACACTTCTCTGATTGGTGCCCACAGACATGATCCGTTGGTAACGAAACGTCCCTCTATCTGCGGACGACAATTGTCTCTCCAGGGACACAAGAGAGTACCTTCTGATGATTGAGTGGCGGAGTGGTGGAGTGGCAATTCCTGGCTGCACCCAGTATGCGATGAATAGAAACCAACTAGGGGAGTAGGGGAGTATGGGTGTGTAAGTGATTTATGTTTAGGGGGTTGAATTAGGGGCTAGAGAGACTCCCAACCTAAAACGATAACAAAGAAATGTGTGGACCGGTTCGTATTGTACGTGGGGTTTTGTGAAACATGCCGTACGTACCTCCACATCAAAACTACAGTATCTCTTTGGCATCTGCGTTTCTAAAACCTATCTGCATTACGCACTTCTTTGCAGAGCGTTCCTTCCTTCCAACAAACTGCTTTTAGCAGCCTACCGTACACACTGTCTAGAAACCGCCCACCGGAATGGACGGCGGAGAGCAGCTGGTTTCTACACCCCCGATACAGACTCAAATAGTACTCATGGCTTGCGAGGTTAACAAAGACTTGCGTGCAACTTGTTCCGTTTCTTGTAAAAAGTCGCCGCTCTGTAGTTTCTAGCCTTCCCCCGTGGGTCTGAAGACTATTTTGTGATGACCGAATGCGCTGTCGTGCATGGATTTTTATCTTCGAGAACAATTGAGACATAGTTGCAAGAAAAGCGTACCCCTCTACGGCGGACGGGAAGGCGGGGGGGGGGGGGGGGGGGGGGGGCCTACCCAAAAACCAAAAAAACCCCTCCCAAGGGGGGGGGGGGGGGGGGGGGGGGGGTCGTAGCAGTAGCACAACAACAACCTTCCAGAGGTTGTCGGCCGCATCGCGCTTTCCTCGAAATTTAATCTTCTTGTCACTAGTCCCAGTCCTCTGAGCCGACCAGTGCTCTCTCTTCCTTTCGGTGCACGGGCGACAAGAGGAACCTATCAGACTTGCGACGTAGAACACGGCCGCGATTTCCTCCTTGTGTTCCGCCTGGGCCTCTCCTTCGACTTCTTAAAGCGGGGTTGATACGGACGTGCGGCAGATCCATTTCTTCAACAATTGGTTTCACTGCTGCTGGCGTTTCGTCGTCCTCACCAGACATGAGGAAGCCGAGGAGACAAACGCAGAAGACGAAAAGCACGGCAATCACAACTTCCCGCTTGTTGGCAAGGAGTGTTTTTCTCAAATCAATGCATCGCCTATTTCCTGCTTTCAGGGCTTTGCGCACGGACTTTGATTTTCCCTGTCGAACGGCGTTCTTGTCCGTCTTCAGTGACGGCAGTGCCGAATTTGATGTCGAATCCCGACCAGCGGTCTTCGGGACACCCATATCCAACCGAGTCTCGGAAGCCGTTCTTCGAACTTCCCCAACGCCGTCGAATGACATTTGCGGTCTCTGTTGTGCCGTTTCGGGTGGATATTGTTTAGATACTTGCGAGACGTTCTCTGCGAGGTCGGTCTCGATGATTTGGAGGGAGGCGGGTTCCCTCAGAAACGGTTTTCGGTTTGTCGAAGACTCTGTGCCAGCTGGAACATCTGGGAGGGTGTTGGGTATCTGGGTGGCGTTTGCTGTTATCTTCTCAGCAGAAGTTGTGGTGACCAGTGACGAGGGCGACCCAATTTGTCCTCTAAGGGCGAGACCGTTCAAATGACCCAGCCCCGGCATGGCCATAATCTGTTTCTGAATAGCGTTTCCAATTTTTGACGAATCAAGTGATTTCTCCAGAGGCATTCCGCATGCACCGCAAGGGTGCTCTGGCGGCCTTGATCTTTCTACGCATGATGCATGCTCCAAGTCTGGGTTTGCAGGCGCGACACAGCAGGAACGAGGAAGCATTTCGAGTCATTAACAATGGAAGCTGAACGCCATCAAAATCAAGTATACAAGAGGAGAACTGTACAGGAATACATACGTAAGCATGCTCGACGGACTGTCTCTTCGCCTATTTCTAGCTCGGCAGAGCACGCCGAACATCGAGAAGGCCATTCGTACGCACTATTTTGCACCCATTTTCGATAAGTATTTACCACGCACTGTCGTACAATCGCATAATACGCATGTTACATGTCAGCGCTTGGTTCCTGCGGCTCTAGAAAGCCGAGCGGGGACTAGTTCCATCAGATATAAGCAAGCAAAGACAATCTAAATGAACGTACCCGTGCGTGAATCTTGGACTCAGCATCAACTAGGCAAGCATCACAAACAAACTCTTGATGAACGAAACAAAATCTTTGTGTCTGTGCTTGGCAGCTGCCGCATCGACCCATCCTCTACTGGATGCCCTTGCTTCTTTAAGCTGCGTCTGGGAGCTCGGGTTGTCTCAGGAAAGCAGGCCGGTTTTTTGTTTCCAAGAGAGTTATGGCTCTCTCACTTCAGCTTTGACTCGCACGTTACGAATATACTCAGCCAGCGTGGACTTCCTCCTCCTGGGAGGACTGGGACCAGGCACCTGCTCGCTGATAAAGAAATCCTAAAATAAGTCATTTTATGGCGTGTACAGCAGGGAAACAGATCCACAAATATTAAGGGATTTCATATTTTTCCGTGGAACAGGTTGGCATCAACAGAGCAAAAAAGGCCATGGCTCGGTGAGCAATTTGCCTGCGTCCCGCATCTTCAACGGCAAAACTTTCGTCAAGTTCTTAGCGGCTGAAATAGACGACAGTTGACTCTTTCCAGACCCTGCGTTTCGAGCAGCTTCAATGCACAACAAAAGGGAAACCACCGAAACCGCACCAGACTGGAACGGCACCTACAATTGCTCTGCTGAAGAACGACAGTCTCCCCGGTCCATTTAAATTCTCGAACTGACCTGTCCACACTCACATCTCGTGCTGACCATTCTATAGATTTTTCTACTATATCTGCCATCCTGAAGAAGGGGTGAAGCTCCATCAAAGAATCAAAAAACCACACAAAGTCCACGCAATACTGTATTATATGAACTGCAAAGAGAAGTGTTGCTCTGAAAACATGATTTGACTGTGGTTTTAAAGGGGTCTTTCGGGCTGACTATTGATGTTATATGGGAACGGAAAGGATGCCGTTTAGATCATGTATGGCACGCAAGAGCCGTGCTTTGCTTTTAATTTCGTCAACAATTCTCGACTAGTACCCGAATTTATAACAGACATGCATCTTCTAAAGGGCACAGATAGTGTCGTTTCTGCATGCGATGACTGTTGCACTTCATTCGTATTGAACGAATCGTTGATGTTAGACTGTCCCCACGACGTCTGTCATTTAAAATGTCCGTCTACTCATGCATTGTTCCGCTTTTTGTGGAGACCAGAATCCTGCTCTGGCAATCAGGAATGCTTGGCTTTCGATTTGGTCTTCTAGATAGGAATTGAAACATTGTAATCGCATCTCAAGGAATTGCATCTTTGCGACAGCAGGACTGCACAGCATCAAAGCTTCTCGTCTGCCTTGATTACAATATGAGCAACGCTGGAAAGGTGCACCAAGAGTTCTTTTTTTCTCCTTCACCACACATGGAGCACCCGCGGAAAGAAAGAACCTCGAGTCGAGGGGGGAACCCGAACATCTCAGTGCCGCCCACCTTAAGTGAGATCGCCCATCGCTCCACTGGGAATCGCACCATCATGAAGGAAGAAACCCAAGCAGGCATCGAACAACCAACGCAAGGTTCACCTAGACCGTCATCTTCTTCGGGGAGAGGAAATGGCACCCATCCTGGAGCATTCAATCGGCGCCCCTCAAACCTGGCATTGGGGATTCCAACTCATCATGCATCGAAACGCGGAAATAGCCTAACAAATAAGGCGAACAAGGAAGCGAAGGGCAACAGTTCCTACTTGCGCGACCATTGCCTGCCACAACCATCTAATGAAGCTATCGGGCCATATGCTCAGCAAACTTTAAGCGGAAAGTATCGCACACGGAGCTTGAATATCACACCATTAGATATCGAAAGTGCTGGAGACACAGTGGAAGTATACCTGAATAAAGGTCATCGAAGGAGTGCCCCACGAACTCTTGGCACACAGTGTGTTGAGAGCCGGGATACTCATCCAATCACAAAGAAGAATGAGAAGATTATTTCTGTCGAGAAGCTAACCAAGGAGAGCTCTAACGAGATGAGCTCTTCCTCTGGACGTACGACGAATAGCAGGGCCGATGTCTCATCTGTGAGACAACGCGGAAGTATTCGTCTCAAGAATGATAGCACATTGAGCGCCGGTACCGTACCATGTATTGATGACGACATCCCACCACCGAGGATGCCTCGAACCAGCACGCCAGAGGCTCCACTGAGTCGGCGAGCTACATCTGAGCGTGCCGATCCTTTTCGCACTAGATCGGGCGCGGGCAGTCGTGCAGTTTCGCAACCCCGTCACCTTGGCCGCAACAGAGCGTTGCGTAGTGAGGGATTTTCTATTCTGCCCAACATTTTCTGCAGAGGCCGACTCATGAGCTGGCCAGTGGGGGTAGCTCCGCAGGTTGTGTACTCTGCTGAGACGAGCCACGACTTGGATGACGGGCATGGAGCTGCTGGTCTCTCTGCTACTTTGCTTTGCAAAATGGGGGCGAAACATAGGGCGTGGGATATAGTCGGCGTGGGTCAAGGGTTCTGCGTGCGTGTGGTAGGCTGGCATGGGGGTGATCTAGGGAACAATGCCGGGAACGGGGGCGGTCGGGCCGTGGTCTATTCTGTACGCCACAAGGGAGAGGGCCGACGCAGTGAGGGATTCTCTGTGCACGGCGGCCCTGCGCAAGTTCACGACGAGCGGAATTGTTCCGACTTCAAGGGGTACCATTATATCTCGGAGCGGCTGGGCACGGCGGCGGGGTGCCAGTCGTCGGCGGTGGAGCAGATCGGGCTGACGGTTGGGGTGTGGGTCGGGGGCAGTGTGGACGAAGGGAAACAGGTTGACCTGCAAGGCGAGGTGCGTTGGAGGGTTCTCGGCCAGGGAGACTGCGACGCGACGGGGAGGAACGGAGCGAGCTTGTTGAGGTACGGCTACTACTTTTTTCTGGATGCTCCTTGCGCGACGAGGCTGTTCACGAATACGGATACTCCTGAGCATGTCAGGTTGATGGCTCGGAGGGAGGTGGATGGGGCAGTTGACATGGATGCATCCAAGTTGTTGACGTATGTGGTTGTGAGGGTGACTGCGGATTGAGGATAGCTGGTCTTTCTCTTGCGGCTTGACGTGTTAGGTTAGATGATAAATTCCGTCTGCGTTGTAGGTCCGTGATGCGCTTGCGGAAACCGATAGATAATGGAAAGTCCTAAGACGTGGCAGGCTGTGATCCGTACTTGAGGTTTACAAAACGAGATCACGGCTGCCGCACTGAACTGTACGAACTTCTTAATGAACCACTGTCGCGTACAGTGCTGTGCAGTGCACAGCACTGTACGCTGCACTGCACAGTGTGCAGTGCTAGCCGTACCGATTGGGCACCATGACCTTGGCTGGGTTCGGAGAGAAGAGAGCGCTTACAGTTCAAAGAACATTGGATCACATGCCCAGAAATGTACTGTTCACGTGGATGTGGATGAATAATGTTTGGGAATCTCGACGTGGGAAACTCGCCACAGTGCGGGCCCCGAACTAGGGTTCTGCGCTAGGGCGAGATAGGGGGGGCAGGCGGAGAATTGGGGTCAATGTCAAAGGTTGCGACGTGTCAAGGTGTTGCTTCGCTATTGGCCCCGATAGCATATCAGAGCCGGCTTCTTCCCGAAAACGGTATTTTGTGATGCACCGCACTCCAGGCAAATGGTCAGCGCTCGGCCAAGTGGAGCCGTGTCGGGAGGTCTCCAGGCGGACCTCATTGGAGGACACGTGCCGGTCAGGAATTGCAGCGGGGTGCAAAGCGAATCGGGCGCGCCAATCAGTTGCTTGATGCAGCCAGGGTTTCCACCTCATTGGCCACCTGCCCTCGCTGCAACTCCGAATCTACCCACCGCTCGGCGCCGTATATCTCCATGCCCCGCCGCGCCGCACCCAATTTACCCCTGTTTTTGCCCATTTCCCGCCCCATGTTTTTCCCCGCAACGCCGCCCCTGTTTCATCCCTTCCGCTTTCCAGCCCCGTACCGCCTCTCCACCCCCGCCTCCATTTATTCCTTCTCCATCCAAACCACTCATCCCCATCCCTTCCTCCCCCCAACATTCCCTCCCTTTCGATACATGCCTACCAACCCTCCCGCTCCCGCAATTCCCGCCACCTTATCCTCCCACACGCGCCATAGCACATGGCTCTCGTCGCCGTCCCCCCGCCCCCGCCCGATGAGCTCCTGGTCTCCCCGAAGGGCTCGGCCGCGAAGAGCACCCCCCTCGATGCTCCCCGCGATGCTGATCGCCCGTCCTTCTCTACAACCTCCTCATCCAAATTGACCGCCCCCGAGGCCCAAGACTGTGCCATCCCCGCAGAATCCTCACTCGCTCGCGATCCTCCGACACCCAAAACCACCAGCCCTGTCTCCTCCACCGCTCTCACCTCCACCGGAGCGCCCTCTTGCCCGCCCCCAAAAGCCACCGTCATTTGCACCCGCACCACCTCGTGTATTTGCGAGGGCTGCGCAGAGCCGCATGACGGCTCGTATGGCTCTGGTCGCTTCTGCAGCGTTCAATGCGCCCGCCGCATTGCCGCCAGCCGCAAGTGGGAGAAGCAGCGCTCCGAGCGCAAGCGCCTCGCCGCCGCAGCAGCTGCTTCGGCCACTGCTACCGCCTCCGTCGTCGACCATTCCCCAAGTTCGCTCTCATCCGCCTCTTCGCTCGATGGCCGCGGAGCACTCAAGAGGCGCCGCGTCGTCATGCTACCTCAAAATGGCGTTGTGCCCCAGGCGCGCTACCACTCTAGTGCCACCCCACCCCCGCCCGTGCTGCAGCATCCCCACTTGCAATATCAGCATCTAGTGCAGCCGCAGCCGCAACCTCACAATCGCCATCACTCCATCCCGCACCACCCGCATCCCATGCTGGGCCATATGCAGATGCAGAACCCTCTGTTGGCTGCTACCCCGCCGTTGCCAGTATCTTCACCACTAGGAGCAATGCCGCCGTTTATGGAGTACGGCCACATGCCGGTGCGCACCGCGAGCCCGTGCTATACGCCGTCTACCGCGGCGTACTATCAGTACCAGCCTCCCATGGTGTACACGCCGCCACCGCAGTACCCAATATATGCGAGCAATCCGATGCCTGTAATGCCGCACGCTCAAATGCCTCAAGGACAAATTCCGCCACCCCCGCCCCCAACCCCTGCACCTGATGCCGCGCATGTCATAGGTCAGGGACACATGGTCCAGAATCATGCTCCTGGAGTGCCGCGCTCTCTGCATGCTCCGAAGGCTCAAGTCTCAAGCGAAAAAGAATGCGCCGCCGTTGCAAACGCTTTACTTTGCCTGCGTGAAAGCAAAAAGATGGAATAGTTTTGGGTTCGAAAGATTTTTTCTTGAGAGAACTAACCTGAAACCAATCTTGCTTCGCTTCACACACACACGTAGTGTCTAGAGATGACAGGAGGTCCGTTGCGAGGTCAAATGGCCTCGTACGACTATTTTTTCTGCACTGTCGTTTTGCATCTGAACCATCGTAATCGTTGAAGGTGGAACTTGACTAAGTGCATTTTCGATTGGGTTTCCAGCTGCGGCTGTATAGGGTTCCAGCGTTATTGGATTGTTAGCTGTTTTTCCTAAGCGTTTAAGCGCGGCAGAAAACGATCTTCGGTTGCGGGAGGAGGCCGTGTTAGCTATTTTGAGGATCTGGGCGCGCACACGTCCGTCGCTCAGGGCCAGTCCTAACAGGCGCTTTTCTTTTTTTTTTTTTTTTCTTCAACCAGTTGCGGTCACGCTATTGGCCGGGTCATTTCATTAAATTAATCGCACGCCACAACGAATGCTACACAGAACCACTGTAATGCTTGGTAATTCTGCAAACTGGTCGAAATCCATTGGCTAAAGGAAGTACCAGTCCACACTCAGTCCATATGCACACTACTAAAATTCCATGGACTCGATGCGGTGCAGTGGCACTTGCAGTACAATGAAAGGGTGGAATTAAATCCAAATACGAGCACATGCAGATCAAAACATTGGTTCTCTCAACGTTACACTCTGTTTAGGAAACGGAGCACCACCGGACGGCAGAAGGGTACCCAGAGTTCAGCTTTTTGAAATCAAATGCCTCCTTGGCATCGATCATGAAATGGAGAGAAGCCGGGGAGGCTGCTCTCTAGTTCATGATCGATGATGAAGTGGCTTCGCCGAAATCCCTTTCCTGTGAACCACCCCGCCCTCGCTCCCTCCCCCCCGCCACCAACCCCCCTTCCCCCCCAAATAAGACCACGTCCCCTCCTCCCCGCCACCCCCCTTCCCCTCAATATCCCCACGTCCCCTCCTCCCCGCCACCCCTTCCCCCCCAAAATCCCCACCTCCCCATCACCATCTTCCTCACCTCCTCAGTACCGTGACCAACACACATCCTCCGACATGCTATTGTCCCCGCTACCGCGTCATCCTCCTAACATCGACACCGACACAGTCTCTCCCCGCACCCTCCATCCCTTCCATATCTTTCGTTTCATATCTCAATCCAGCCCAGTTTTGGTCATGCACATCGAGGGACCTCATTATAGCAACACGTCGTCCAGCTTTGCTTTTGTCGAGCTACAGGGGGTCAGACTGGGCCATGTGCATGCGCGAGGAGGCGTTGCTGTACCTTCCATGCTGCATGGATCTGCAGACCGTCCAGACTCTGTTCCATTTCTGAGGAGTGGAACTTTGGGATGGCATTACAGTAAAAACTACAGCAATGTGCTTCCGATTTTAGTGAAGAACTCAATAAAAACGGGGCGAGGGAAAGGAAAAACGAGAAAAAAGTCCTTTGTTAGGACTGGCCCTCAGTCATGCGACATATTGCACTTCCCTTGTTTTATCATAAAATCTTAATTTTGACTAAAATTGGCCCTCATGTGGGGCCAATTCATTTATCGCCTGCTGCAGATCCTAGTGTCTAGACGACAAGCGATTTGACCTCATATGAGGCCAGTTTTTTTTGCAAAAAATATATAAATTAAATCGAAACTTTAAAGAGTCAGTTTGGACACCATTTCTTTAACGTATTTGCCCTCGGCATTAACATCTTGCAAAACCTTGGGATGGCAGTTTCCAATGCACAGAGAGACTAAGAATCTAATGAAGTTTCAATGATGAGTTGGCTTTTTAAACAGGCGTTTTGGTTTCGAAGAAATCAACATAAAACGTTTTGAGGTTGGTGAAGATAGATGGTCGCTTACGGTTGGAGCTCCCGCGCACCCGAGATATCAGCGGTAGCGAGAGTACTCTTGACTATCTATCGAAAAGTAAACAAAGAAAGAACAATATCAGAGAATAGACATGTGAGGGAAGCCCAGGGAAGGGCGTCCTGACGGGGATGGGTGGGCAAAAGAGAAATAGACATAGCCGAGAAGTCACGAGACTCTCACCCGGCCGTCGGCGATATGTAGGACAGTGCACGCTCGGTCGAATGCCAGGTGTCGGCATGTCACTCGCTACTCCCTGGACAGCTTCACCTGCATACACAAGTGTATGCAGACGCCAAAAAGGCTCCTTTTTTGGGCATTTTAAAAATGGCTGGAAAAGACGTGCAGATCTCACCAAACTCCGCCCTTCTGCAACGAAGAAGTCAACTGCGGTGGCGAGAGTATCTTTTTCCATCTTGTTGAGCTAGAGCAAGTAGAGAAAAAATAAGTTGAAAAGTGACCTCATATGAGGTCATTTGTCACCTAGAAACTAGCGCTTGTCTTTTCGCTAGCCGGAGGTTGATTACGCACCGTGGGGCACCACGACGTAGCGACTTGGAGACACTGAAGATGACTTGGTTTTGGATAGAAGAACGACCATCCGTGTGTAGGGAGTCATGCTAATCTGCCGGTCACAACGTGCAATCGAGATGGAATCCTCCAAAGACGGATGGTAGTCTAGATATGGCTCCGGCACCGTCTTGTTTTCGTGTCTGTCGAAAGACAGCGAAGTCTGAGTAGCAGCAGAAACGCAATAACTGCACTAGTAGGCAGGTTTATAATTACAATAGGTAGGCCCGTACATTCGCAGCGCGCCCTCACCTGCCGCTTCTACCGCCAAATATGTCGCGCTAGAACGATTAAAGAAAAGGCCAGATCTCAAGACGTACGGTAGAGTCTGTTCAGTTATGAATTCTCCAAAACTGACGACGCAGTTAACCCTCTGAAATAAGAATCATGCGATTTGTATCCTTCTCCACCTTCAGCTTGGCTTTGCACTTGTCGCACTTGACGTCAGCATACTCCTGAAACCCCTTGTTAGTGAGGACATCTCCGAAGAAGACATGAGTACGCCTTCCGCAACTCGGACAATCGCCGACCATGATCTGTGGGTCTGGAACAACGGCGGACGTGAGAAGCTTTGCGAGCAAAAAGATGGCCGGGGAGCCAATGATGAGTGAGAGCACAGGGTCGATATTGTGCAATGGAGTGAACTCAAACGAAAAGGAGAGCCAAAGCAAAGCGACGAGGAGTCCCGCCGGAACGTAAAGAACGAAAGTTCGTTTTCGATCAGGGATTACATCGGAAAAGGTGATCTGCCTACGGATAGAGCAGCGCGGGCCGCGCTGAATGGCAACGATCGAACCCGCATCAATGAGCTTCTTCTTGAGTTTGTCGAACTCTTCATTTGGCATTGTTGGGTTGCCCTCTTCATAGGACTTTGCGGCGTCTAAAAACATGAACTCGTCGCGACTGAGGGTGACAACGTCGGAGCCCTGCCAGGTGAGCTCCTCCTTGAGGGTGTCAAACTCCTCGTTGGACAGAGTAGAATCGCCACGGAAATAGGCCTGGGCGGCATCGAGGAAGACGCGCTCTTTTTCGCGAACGGAGAGCTCAGCGCGCTTTCCCGTGCGCGGGTTGATGCTGCAGAAACCGGCAATGTTCTCGTCGATGATAACCTCGGTTTGCGGCTCCTCGGTTTCCGCCTGGGAGGGCTTTCCATTGGCGTCCATGCGGATGAGAGAAGGGGGGGCTTGTTGACGGACGACGAGGGTACGTGGTCGGGCGGAGATGAAAGTGCTGTGACATGAGAAAGTGGAGGCCACAGAGGCGGGGACTGTGACAAAGGCCATGGTTGCTGAGCGGAAGGCGAGACTGTTTGGTCTTGCGGCGGGCGCGCGCGGAGGAGGAGAGGTGGTGGCAGCGCTCGTGTTCTGAATGGAGAGGCCCATAGGCGCTGAACCTGAGTCACGGCTGCGGGGCTTGAGGGGGGGGGTAAATCTGTAGGAAAAAGTCCTGGCGCTCCCGCAAAAGCTTGGGTTCAGCAGCGTTACTGCCAATGCAGACGGGATATCTGTTCTGGCAGATGAATGGCTAGCATGGGTTCTGAAATGATCTCAGATATGAGATCAGCAAAAACGTGTGAAAAATGCGGATTGGCGACCCCTATTCCATGCCCGAATCGATGCCTGGTCCTCGATTCATGGAAGCTTCAGGAAGCCGCCGCCACTTCGTATCCACAGTTTTGCACAGGTCATCGGAGGACAACCTGTACATTTTCCGCCTGTTTCTGACAGTTGGCAAGTGCTCTTTTTTATGTAAGCTTTCCTCGCTGTCACTCGACAACCGGCCAGCAAGGAAAATACCAGCCCCCTTCGATCAGAACGATGGAGTACACGTGTACATGGTGTCAGCACATGCCGCCTCTGGTGTTGACACTTGACATCAACTTGGAGCATGCGTTCTCTTCTTGCCCCGTTTCCTCTCGATTCAGCGCATTGCCTGAACAGTTACCATCGCCATTCCCACCGTACAAGATCTTCCCCCTTTCCACTCGCTCTCGACCATCTCACCAGCGCCCCACCACGCTTGCCGCTTCATTCGCCCCCTGCCCATACGCTCCTTACTTTGATTCTACACCATGGTGCCTGACACTGGTGTAACGCTCCGACAGTTCCCACATAAGGCCGTCGAGTCCTATGGCGAGGTCGAGTTTGCGCGTCTGGACCGCAAGCTCGCTATGTTCCACGCGCTCTCCTCTGAAGACAAGCAACTCCTCCCCGAGTTTGAGCCGCGCATGTCGGCCATCGCCGAGTGCATCGAAGTCAACGTCACCCTCCTCTCCCGTATCGCTGATTCTGCAACGTCCATCAGCTCTTCCTCGGACCTCTCTGTTCCACAGGAAAACGGCCACCCCACCCCCAACTCACCATCCCTGCCATCTGAACAAACCACGGACCGCGCCGCAGAGGAAAAGCAGCTCCTGTCAAGTGAGATCCGCCGTGGCTTCACCCTCCTCGCACGCGACTGGAGCGCAGTAGGAGAACAGCAAAGAGATGCCTGCTACAAGCCGTTGGTCGAAGCTGTGGACTCTGCGTACAAAGAAGCGTCGCAAACGAACCAATCCTTGTCACGGGATGCCTTTCGCGTGCTCGTTCCTGGTGCGGGAGCTGGTCGACTACCGTGGGAGCTGGTGCGCCGCGGCTTCGCCGTCGAAGGCTGCGAAAGCTCATTCACCGCGCTTTTGGTCGGAAACTACGCGCTGAATTCGGTGTCGGGAGAGGCGGCCAGTACAATCTACCCGTTTGTGCATGAACAATCCAACGTTGCGAGCCAGAAAGCGGCGACGAGACCTGTGTCTGTCCCGGACGTGAATCCTAAGGACATCCCCAACGTGGCCGACTTTGCGATGCGGGCTGGTAACTTTGTGCATGCGTACGAAGGGCATGACAACGCATGGGACGCAGTAGTGAGTTGCTTGGCGTTCGACCTTGGGGATGCCGTGATTGAACATGTGAGGCGGGTGAGTCAGGTCATTAAACCCGGGGGTATGTGGGCGTTTATCGGGCCGATGCCATGCTTTGATGGTGGGCAGATGGAGGGCATTCATTTGTCGGTGGAGGAGTTTCTGGGGATTGTTAGAAGATGCGGGTTTACAATGGTGAAGATGGAAGAGGTCGAGGTATCGCACACGGCGGATGCTGAGAGCCTGAGGTCGATACAGCTGCGATGTCCGTTTGTGGTCGCCGTCAAGGAGCGGCCGTCCTGAACGACGATGCCACGGCTACTAAAACCAGCCGCCACCCGACTGCTTACGAATTTTCGTAACTGCTCAGCAAGGACGGCCCGCCGTTGGACGGATCGCCCGTCCATTTGCACGCCGTGTCTACATGCCGAAAGCGGTGCAAGGCACGTTTATGTAAACAGGCAAAGAGGAAGCATAGAATTTGATTTTTGAATATTTTTGTAACCAAGTACGGGAATGACTGGAATTGGTCGACATAGGCCGGTTCTACAGTCAGCCCCCGCAACCTGTCTACAGAACACGCAGCACTATAGTAGTGCTGGCACCGTAGCCGTCTTCGGGACCAATATACGTACATGCGGTATTGTTCGTTGTGTCACTTCCTCCCTCTGTTAAAAGGCCGCAATTCCAAAACAGTTTGTTGAACCATCGGTTTGCTATTCTTCTCAACTTTTTCCAAATGGCCGAAGTTATCCCGTCCAACCTACAAACCGGTTCCTCGGAGCCTACCGAAATCGCTCCCAAAGCTGACTTAAGTGACCTGGACAAGATCAAAGCCGCGCAAGCCGCTCGGCGCACTCGCCGCTCGCGCGCTCCGGAACCCACCCCCCCACCCATCTCAGTCGTCTCCGACGACCCGAAGCCCACTGACGAAGCTAGCAGCGAAGAATCTCCCGAAATGAGCAAGCTCCGCGAAGAAATGGCAACTCTCCGGCTGGAAATGTCCTCCCTGCGTCGAAACCACTTGCAAAACCTCAAGAAGGTTACTGAAGAACGGGACATGTTCGCCACACAGCTCGTCCGCGAGCAGGCGTCTTCAGGGGGGTCACCCAGCGGCGTGGATAAGCGCAAGCTGGGTGATGCCGAGGTACAACTGCGTGCGGCACGCACCAGGAATACTGACCTTGAGACTGAGAATGGCGTTTTGAGGGACGAGGTCAAGCAACTTAACTTCCGCTTGCAAGCTAACAAGACTATGGCCGCAGCGACCAATGGGTACGAACGCATTGTCGATGACCTGGTCACTGTAAAGGTGAAAAATGCTGAGCTTCAAGAGGAGAAGGAAGAGATGCTCCGCATGAATAAAGAGCTGACGCAGAGGGCTGCAGCACTCTCTGAGGCGAACGGAGAGCTGGAGAAGAGCAGGTCGCAGTGGGTACTACAGTGTGCCGATGTGGAGAAGAAAAGGGGGGATCTTGAGGCCAAAGTAAAAGAATTGCAAAAGACGCAAATGAGCGCGGGTAAGAAGGGGAAGGAATATGTGTCACCAGACACGTCATACGAAGAGTCTGATCTTCAGGATATCAAACTTAACTGAGAAGGATGGGTGCCCTTGCTGCCGAAGTACCAACTATAAATCTTTATCAGTTAACAACAAAACTGTAGAACCGTTTCCCCACGCTTGCTTTTTATAAATGCGAAACAATGTACCTGCGCCACCCTCTTCCTTGACGCGAGAGAGAATCCTTCATGGTGGGGAAGATCTTGTTCTCCCGGACGGTGGAAGGCCCCCGCGACCGTGTTGCATTGAACCCCCTTGTGATGCACTAGCCGAGCCCCCTGATGGAACAGGAGACATCTTTCGTCGTTTTGCATAAGACCCGCCAGCAAAACCGGTGTCTGCAGGATCGGCTGAGGAACTCCGTCGTCGACGCGATGGAGCCTCGTCAAGTTCTGCCGCATCCTCCTTTTCAGCACGCTCAGCCGATGCACGCAGTCTCGCTGATGCTGCTCGTGATGACATGCGCCCGCCTCGTCCTAGGCATTTCTCAAAGTGCTGAGCGTAGCGGGACGCCGAGACGCTTGAGCCACAATTGGAGCATTCGACATTGACATTCTTATCGCTGTACAAAAGCTTCGAGCCATATCGCTCTGGATTTGTGCCGGGAGGGTCATTCGGATTTAGGGCGGCAGCATCAATGGCGGTGAGATAGCGGTTGGCTTCGGAGGCGAGAAAAACGCTGCGCTTAAATTGGACTGCGACATGTGAAATGGCCCAATTTATCATATCGTTGTAGAGATGAACGGCAACAGCTGCTGTGGTGAAGTGGTCCATGTGGGCGCCATTCTGTGCAATGGCATCTTCAAACGCGCTGAGCAAATTGTCGTCGCGTGTAGGCTCCTTGTCTGAGCCTTCGGCGTGCATGCTTTGGTCAACGACATGTTCGGAAGTGGGGAGTGATGGGTCTCTAGATTGATCGTGAGGGGTGGAGGCGGTGGCGTCCGTCTTTGAGGAGTGCCTCGGGGACGACACTGGGTGTGAAATGACAGCCAGTTTTCTGGATTGTGGGTTTGCTTCTGAGGAATTTCTTTCTGCTAGAGGGAGGGAAGGTTGGGAGTCAAGATCGGATTTGGAAGGCAAGGGGGATGAATGGGGGGATGTGGCAGCTGAGTTAGAAGCCGAGGCCGATTGCAGAGTGCGCTGTGTGAGTGTTGCCGAGCTGCGGCCCCTTCGCTTCCGGGGTGCCATGTAAAGAGCTGGAGGAAGCTGTAGCCATACCTGCTGGATTCGGGGGAAGTATTTTAGTTTTCGCGGTGTCGTCGGCGGCGGTAGGATGAATGCTAATGCATGAAAGCGAGATAGACCGAGGCCTCGGTGCCGGTGCAGCAATATCAAAACACGTCGCAGGGGGGCAAGGTCTCCTTTCAGCGGGTCATGGGGCGGTGACGAACACCGACGACAAGTTAATTTTGCATTTTATTCTTGAGTAAGTAGCCGCTGTACGTGCTCACAGCAAGCCTTACTCCTCATTTGATCAAAAAATACGGAAAAGATCAAATCCTTGATGTCAACATCAGCGTCAACCAACCTTGTCCACCTGACAACAATCCACTGACTCAGGCCCTTCGGTGAGGGTATCGTACCTTCGTGGAGCACTTCTCCATCCTCACTACACCCATCCTTTTCAAATTTACATCTACCTCCCGGCAGCTACGGTACTAAACGGTTTTGACCCATTCCTTAATTCATCCTTACCTTCTCCATCTCGTCAAATGGCCCGTAAAAGCACTAAACCACATCTCTCAGAACAGCAGTTAGCCTTTCAATCTCAATCACTTGCTCCCCGTCTGCATCTTCTGTCCTCGCCATGTGAAGGATCATCAAAAGTTTCTTCACTCCAAGGTCTTTCGCCTCTAACATTGTAATTGCAAAATCCCGGTCCCTTCGCGAACGAAAACGGGTTGCACTCAAGTGACTTGAGTGTAGCGAAGAAAAGGAACCGTCTGCTTCTTGGCTGATATTAATAGATTCCGTATTTCCGTCCAGAATCGCTCCTATTTCATCCCCGGACAGCGTTGGCGTGCTCAACACTGCGGAAAATGCCTGCTTGTAGTCGAGCCTTTCAATCACGTTCATACAACTGGTTGTCGCAAGAATCAACAGCCGCCGTCCCTTTGGAGGTACTTGCTTAGTTAGAACCATAAGTGTTTGTAGTAGAATGTTGGAAAACCTCGGACCAATCGGCGAATATTCAATCATGCGCTCAATATTATCGAGCACAATCACAGACAAAGACGACTTGTGTGCGTCGTCAAACACTTTAGCCAACGCTTGACACTTTGCCACCTCCGAATACCCGACGTAAGACTCCGGTGTGACTAGTCTTACGAAAGGAAACCCCGATTCTACAGCCAATAGAGCGGCTAGCGCTGTCTTCCCAGTGCCTGGTGGGCCCTCGATAAGAACAGATAGTAATGGCGAGCGGTCTGAGCTCGCAACCTCGTTGCGGAACAGCTTCCCAGCATCCAGTGACTTCTGCATTCTCTCTCCATGTACGAGAAATCCACCAAGAAGGCATCTCGCAAAGTCGTCTCTGCCCATTCCAAACGCGGGCTGTACCTCAACTAAGGCCCGCCGAAAGTCTTCCATAGTCACCACCATTCCAGATGCATCCACTTGCTTCTGTAGGTCTCGGTAGTCAACATGTCTGTTTAGAGCAAATGCTGCCGCTGACTTACACAAGCCCTCGATTTCAGCTCCAGAATAGTTCTTTGTCTGTACCGCAAGCCAATCGAGGTTGACATCGTGAGCAAGCATGCGGCTCTCCCTCATTTTAGCGGTGTGAATCTGTAGAATCTGCTGACGCCCATGCTCGTCAGGCAAAGAAATTTCGACATGCACTTCCAGTCGACCTGGTCGCAATAGGGCTTCATCAATCATGTCCTTCCTGTTCGTCATTCCAATGACTAGAATGTTGTTTAGAGCGTTCACTCCATCAATTTTTGACAACAACTGATTCACAACAGTGTCGCCGACACCTGATGAAGTTCCACTACTACCGCGTTGTTTGCATATTGCGTCAATCTCATCGAAAATAATAATATGGAGCTCAGAGCTGTCGCCGTTTTCCTTGTAATCCGCTTCTGCATCTTGGAAAAGAGCACGGACGTTTTCCTCACTCTGCCCTACAAACTTGTTCAAAATCTCCGGCCCATTGACTACTTTTGGCTCCTTTCCGTTTAGCATCTTTCCAATCTGTCGTGCGATCAAGGTCTTACCGGTGCCCGGTGGTCCGTAGAGTAACATTCCCTTCACGTGCTGAATCCCGAGCTTCTGAATGACGGAAACTGGAAAGACGCGGGATGCAAAAGCTCTTCTAAAGATATCTGAGAACTCTTTGTCCAACCCACCAATACCCATCTTCTCAAAGTTGAAATCCGCTCGAAATACATCCTTCGGACGATTGTCGCCGCCTCTCACTTTGACTGGTGAGTCTGGAGCTTTCGTAAAGAAGATTTCAGTGTTCTTGGTCACTGTTGCGATTTCAACAGCAGAATCCGCAACAAGTGACGTCGCTTTAAGTATTAGTGAAGAGCCAAAGAAGTCGACAATGAAGGATTGGCCGAGCGAAGGGACGTGGGCGGTGAATCTGCGCTGGCATTGTTCAATGAGCTCTTCTGCTTCGATCTCTATCTGCTGTCCTGTCCTTGAGAGGAGGCCGACTTCAAACGTCGCCGCAACCGCAACGACTGGCTTCTTCCCCGGCCATTTGAAAGGGCTGACGGAAACGACATCACCAAGGCCTAGACGCAATTCTTTGCGTTGACTTCGGTTAAACGCGAGGTGCCCGTGCTGTACTTCGGAGCTCGCCCCGATGACGTAAACAAACTTTGAGTTGATGTGTCCTAAACCAGATACGGCCGGGAAATCAGTCGGATTGACGAAGACTTTGTTCGTGCGAGCAAGATCATTGTTCGGACATGAAGAAACAGAAAGTTTCTGGGAGGAAGGAAGCAACCCTCGTAAATTCCAAGATGCCATCCTGAATGTTCAAATAGGCACGAACGAAGTGAAAGTTTGGGGGACTAGCGACCTTATCGTTTGTCTCTAGGGATTGAAGATTCGCTTGGTTTTCAATTGTGAAAGCAAGTTCCTCTGCTGCCCAGACTTCGCGGCGAGATGAACGCAAACTTCAATGCACCGCCACCACTAGTTACACTGGGTACCGGGTTGTGTGCGAGTACCCTGCTTATGCATGTAACAATGGAGAGAAAGAAGGTCGCAACACGTCACGCCCGTGTATGAGCTGACGACGAGGCTTACACAAGTGGCATACAGATGCAATGATATTGTACTGTACTGTACAAGGCAGCAATACATTACAGCACTACTTTACAGAGGGTACCCCTATGTTTGGGACAAACACCTACTACAGGGACAAACGAAAACCATCAAATTTTAATCACATTAAAGATCAAGGTGCAGAAAGGGCGCCCTCCTGGTCCTTCCAAGCAATATATCTTCCCCACTGAGCACTCTGCGGCCAATGAGGAACTGCCATCTCCTCCCTAGCAACCCCATCTATGCCCCAAAAAACCAAGGGCGGGCATTTCAAATGTGTTCGAACAGAGTGAACGAAACAGTAGGTCTCCAACGCAAACGAAGGGGGTTTGCGCAGAACAGTGACAATTGCAGGACGACTCGGTCCTTTTGAAGGTGAGCTAAAACATGCTGTAATGGACTCCAACAGCCGACTCAACGCCCTCCACAGCAATGCATAAAAATCGAGTGCAAAAATGATACTTTTACGATAGTAGTACAGTATCTTTCTGCTGTCCCTACAAACTTTCGCTTGGCTGTCTCTCAAACAGCTCCCTCACCTCCTCTGCACGAAATTGGCGTTGCACGAAGTCCGCTCGTCTCTGACGATAGCGCTTCTGTATCTTTCGGCGTCGTTCGAGTTGAGAATTCCCAATGTGATACCCCCTGCTTGTAAGCTGATGGTATAACTGCACGTCGCCATCCCGCAGCGGCTTCCAGCGTATGTGGAAGTTCGTCAGCCCTAGACATAGACGAAATATGGGGTCATAATTAATCTCGGACCACTTCCATTTCGACCCTAACACACTCCAAAGCCCGCATAAACGTCCGAAATAGTTCTCTACAAAAATGCGGTCACTAGATATAAACTTGTTCTGCGCGCATTTGCGCCCACGACCGACGTTGCAGTTTGCAAGGACCAACACCTCAAACCCAGCCCAAATGCCGATGAATTGGGTCGGGTTGAAGTTGGTCATCTCCACAATGGCCTCTGCACCCCCCTCATCGTAGAAACGGTCAAATATCGGCGCATCAGTCCCATTATCCTCATCACTGTTCTCTGGGCGCTCGTAATCGAACGCCTCGAGCTCATTACGGCGATCAATTGACGCATGGGCAAGGAGTTGCAGAGCTTGTGCTGCATCGTGAGATGAGAAGCAGGCCATAGTGCGGTGTGCGATAATGATAGGAAATGGCAGGCGAGGGGGGCACGCGGCGGAGGAAGCGGGGGTGGGGCAAGTGGGGTGAAAGTGGCAGAGCAGATGGAGAGAAACTAGTGCAGAGTGGGAGAGAGACGATGGGGGACAGGGAGATAGGATGGAAGGAGTGCAAGTGGGCGTGGAGTTGTGTAGGTATAAAGGTGGCGTGCGTGGGATTGGAGTGGCAAGGTGGGGACGTGGGGCTTGACACTGTAGGTGTAGAAGGCGGAGCGGAAGGGGGCGAGATGAGGGCGGGAAGAACCAGTTCTGAATTTTTGAAAGGCGTGGACCTCTGTCATTACGATGTGGCCCGGTCTTTTATCAAATGAACTGGGCGTTACAGGTTGAGATGCCGCTCTTTCACATTCAATCGAAGTCCAGGAATTGATCACGTATTGGCGATTCGCGGGTTTCTTGTCGAAAAGGTCGACCATATTTACAGTTAGTGTGTGATTTATTTATTAATTTGTGATACGTCAAAAATAGTTGTCTTCTCAGTAGTTATTTGGCTCTTTGGGCTGTCCGAGAGAATTTGCGTGAATGGTCTAGTGTCAGAAAACCGGCCTTTTCGCCTCTTCCATACATCGATGTATGGAAGAGGCGAAAAGGCGGGTCCCATACGATCGTATGGATCAACTTAATTGTTTCATCGCCCACAACAGCCCCATTCCTCACTCAGAGTCTTGATTCAAGACCAAACTTGAGTTTCTTTCCTCCTTCGCCTTCTCCCCTTTCTATTCCCTCACTCCCTTCCACCACGATGTCCAAGGCAAAACGTCAAAATAACCGTCAGATAAATGCCATCTCCACAGCATTTATTGCTGTCAACAATGGATCCTCTATTCAAAAGGCTGCTGCGTCATGCCGCATGGCGAAAACCACATTCTATCGGCTTTAACAAAACGGCATTGAATCCTCTACTAAGAAACCTGGTCGAACCGCCCTCACACCAGACGAGGAAGGAAAAATTGTTTCTCTTCTGTCTTCTTACGCTGCTCGTGGGTAACTCCTCTCCCAGAATGACCTACTCGAAGCTGTTCAAGTTTTCGCCAGTACATTCGACAATGAGCGTCGTCTTCGTCTTCCATTTAAAAATGGAAAGCCTGGCAAAACGTTTGCTGCAAACTTTCGAAAACGACACAGCACGATACTACGATTCGGACGGGCTACAACACAACAAGCTAAACAATTTGCAGCGACTAATGCAGAACACCTCACCTCCTTTTTGCTGTTATCGAAAAGGTTATTGCCGAAAATGACATCGACGAGGAGCGGTTATGCAATTTGGATGAGTGTGGAATTTCGGCTGAGACGGACAAGGTGGGAAAAAGCCGCAAAAAGGTTTATTCCCTCTGCTATTCGAAGCCCCAACAGCAATTGCCTGAGTTTCGTAATGTCGATCGCATAACCATGATGCCCGTCGTCTTTGCCTCTGGGCACTCTGGAAAACTGCTGTTTGTAATTAAGGGCAAACGTGTGCCTTATCGAGCTGTGAGAAACAGTGACGGGAACAGGCTCATAGAGACGCTGGCAGACTGTCTCCCTCGAGGAAGTATGATTACTTCTCGCAGTGAAACGGCAAGTGTGGACAGGGAAAATGTTTTGCGCTGGGCAAAGCGATTTGTTGTGGACATTCAGGATTTGACACCCAACGATAAAAAAGTGTTGCTTCTCTATGATGCATACAGAAGTCACATGCATATCCAGGCGCTTCGTGTATTTGACGAAGGCGGGGTGATTTCTGTAGTACAATTGCGCGGAGGCGACGGCGCCACCGCTGCCGCCCCAGCGTACAGTGATCTCGGGTGTAAGCGCCATCACAACCGTAAGGAGTTGTATTTACAGCTGGGGGCCGGTGCGGAGAACAGTAATACTCCACAGGCTACACGTGTGTAATCCGTACGGTTATAAGTAGTAATTAGTAGTTAATGTCACAAATTTATTAATTGTATACACAGTAGCTGGTATACAGTAAGTAACAGCTACTGTAGCGGGACAGGTGTCCTGGCGTCCCACTTAGGGGTTAAGACCGGGGGCACCTGCCCCGTCCCAGTAAAGAGGCGCAGACTCGCCTCCCTTCCCTTTACGGCTAAGTGCTAACACCGTTCCGGTTTTCCTTTAGCTCGGGCTTCTAACCCGTGACCGGCCGTCCGGTTATAACAACACCGACCGGCTGCGCGTCACCGGCCACGTGAGCCTTCCCTCTTTTCGAGTCCATCCGTACGGTTTTTATCCGCGCGTGGGTAACCCAGCGTCGCGCGCTCCCTCACCTCTAACCTCCCTCGTTCCGAGTGGTCGGGACGAAGGTAGTTATACCACAATTGCATTCGCACTGCCAGTGCATACGAGTGGCACCATGCACTCGCTAGAAGTGGGAGTTTTTGGACCATAGAATGCGCACCTTGACACAGTTTTATACAGGATGTGTTTTCCAGGTCGTGCAAATGTCTTTGATGTGTTCGACTTTTGTAAAATAATGAAAGTGGCGTACGCAAACGGGTTTATACGGTCAAACATTCAAAGTGGATTTAGGAAGACCGGCTTGTGGCCACTGAACCCGAATACAGTATTAGGACAGTGACGTCTGTTGTCAGCTGATTGCAAAGCAGTCGCTACTGTAGAGGATATGGAAAATATGTTGGAAGAGAAGCGGGTGAGGTTGAGGTCTACCGCTGGCTTGAAGCCCATAGTGCTCAAGCGAGGATTTCTAGTCACCAGTGGGGGTGTCAATCCTACAAGCGAGGAAGCTATGGCTCTGGTTTCAAAGAAGGAAGAGAGTGAGCGACGAAAGTTTTTGGATGCCCAACGGAAGAAGGCCCTAGCGGATTTAAAAGAAGCCCGCAGAGTTGCGTCTGTTCGTGCAGCGCGTTTTCTACATGAGGAATTGGCGTGGAATATCCTGTTGCTGCGTATGGGAACAGTTCTGTTTTGCCAAGACCAATGTCTGCCCGTCACAAAATTGCAGCGGAACAGGCAATTGTGAAGAAGGCTTTGGCGTCTGAGAACACTTGCAGCTACACAAGTTTAGAGCGGCGTCGAGATCCTTGCAACCGGCTCTCAGTGGATCAGCTTGCTTACGAGATTTGATTTCCGCGCCGTGATTTACATCAAAAAATATGGGTGAAACCAGATTTCATGATGGACTTGTCCCGACTCAAGGGGTATTTTCCCGAAAAGGAGTCTTTCTGAGCAGTTCGTCAAATGAATCCTCTAAAATGACGCCAGTTCTTTGTCCTTTTTCTTGGGTTTGGCAAGATTGCCTAGGATATGCCGCAGACAATGACGTAGTAACCGTAAACAACAGGTCACGGGAAGTAATTTTTCTTTAAAAACGCGGTATTGTCCCAAACATAGGGGTACTGTCTTGTACCGTACAATAAGGGTGGGTGGTTTCCGTAGTACGGGCTTGAGTGAATAAGGGTGGGTGGGGTCCG